GGATCGATGTACATAAAACAGAGAGTAGGCGTGGACAGAAAATGATGTCATCACCAGAAAATTCAGTCAAGTTGGTAGTTGATCGGTGGCTGCCTTTCAAAACCACAGCCCTGGAAGTTGCTCAAATGTACATTTTACGGGAGCGATTAATGGCATCCATTTTGTTCAAGGTGAGTTTATAATCAATTTACGCCGAAAACTACTCCATACTAGAAAACATTCTTTGATTTGATTTTTAATGTCCAACCATTTATTATTGCCTTTTTATAGGTAACACATCCACGAGAAAATTTGCCGCCTCATCTCGGAGCTTCTATGTACGCAATAGCTTGTATCCTCTCGTATGATGGTCACGTGGGACTTTCGGAGTCTATGAGACCAAAACATTCGATGACTGAGATGTATGATACCGGAGGATGGGAAGAGAAACCAAACTCTTTCCTCAACTCTCTCTTTTGGTCTCTGAGTCTGAAAGAGAGCAAGCCTTCTTCTAGTCACACAAATAGGTATCGGCAGCCTGACTTCAACACGGCTCCAACAGAAGCTGGTTCGATGCCTAGGCAGCAAAACAATAAGCAAAGTAAGCCCAAACCAGGTAACAACGCTGATTCGGGTAAGAAAAAAGAGAAAATGTTTGCTAATCACGCCAATGGAATTCACCAACCTGAAGCTGCATATGCTAAGCAAGCAAAGCACAAACCAGCCAACAGTTGGGGTTCAGGTAACAACAAGAAAGAGAACATGCCTTCTGATCACATCTCTGGGAATCAGCAACCAAACTCAGGTCCAAGAGAAGCAGCTGCTGCAGCATCAATGGGTAAGCATCATAGCAGTAAGAAAGCAAAGACCAGGTCAGCTAACAACTCGGATTCGGGTAAGAAGAAAGACCGGTATGTTCCAAAGGTAGATGTCCATAAAAGATGACGCGAAGACAAAAGCAGAACAGAAGGTAGAAGATGCATGAAGAGGGGAGTGTTTTGGTTTTGGGTCCCATGAACTATATATATATGTTGGATGGTCCCTCCATTTTATTTTGGTGGTTCTTGGGCTCAATCATGAAACCGGATTTTTAACTGGTTTCATGTTGCTTTAATTTTTTGCTTCCACTATATTTACGTAATACTTTGTGAAAGTTTCTAGAGTGTTGTCCCCCTCTTCTAGCAGATTCATCATATAATTATTACAAAATGTAGAAATTCATCACTGCCACGTGGCACGATTGATCACCAATACAACCTTATCGGAAATATCAAAAGAGAAGATGCGTGCAAAAATCCAAAAACACGGAGCGATAGACACTGCAACTTCATTCTTTAAATACTTTTCATAACTTTGGTTTTAAGGTTTGAAAACAAGAGAGCGAATGGCGTACAGCGCGTGCTTCTTGCACCAGAGTGCACTTGTCTCACGACGATCATCACCTTCCTCGCTTCGCCACGTGTCCCTCTCGGGACCTGTCCATTTAGCGTGCAAAGCTCAACAACAGTCTCAGGAAGATGATGATAGCTCCGCCGTATCCCGCCGTCTTGCCCTCACCTTCCTCGTCGGTGTCGCCGCCGTGGGATCTAAAGTCTCTCCAGCAGATGCTGCCTATGGTGAAGCCGGTACGAGCCTCTACTAAAAACCCTTGAAAGGATCATATCAATGAGAATCTTGAAACAATTCTTGCTTGATTTGCTTATTTGGTGTATTTTCTTCAGCAAATGTGTTTGGTAAGCCAAAGAAGAACACAGACTTCTTGCCCTATAATGGAGAAGGATTCAAATTAGAGATCCCATCAAAGTGGAACCCAAGCAAAGAAGTTGAGTATCCAGGACAAGTCCTAAGGTTCGAAGACAACTTTGATACCACCACTAATGTCGCTGTCATGGTCACTCCTACAGACAAGAAATCCATCACTGATTTCGGTTCTCCCGAAAAGTTCCTCTCTCAGGTTTCGCTCTGTTTCTTACACTCAAGTTCGATCACATGAGAATTTGCTACAACTGATGATCTGTTTCTGGTCTCTGTGCAGGTGAATTATCTCTTCGGAAAGCAAGCTTACTTTGGCGAAACCGCCTCTGAGGTAATTTCCCTCTTGAGGACTCGAAGATTATCGAGTTAGTGAAGAACAAATACCTCAGAGACTAGTGTTACTGATCTGTTTTGCAGGGAGGGTTTGATACAAATGCAGTTGCCACTGCAAACATTCTGGAAACATCTACACAAGAGATTGGTGGGAAACAGTACTATTACTTGTCGGTTTTGACGAGAACAGCTGATGGGGATGAAGGCGGGAAACACCAGCTGATCACAGCCACTGTGAATGGTGGAAAGCTTTACATCTGCAAAGCACAAGCAGGAGACAAGAGGTGGTTTAAAGGAGCGAAGAAATTTGTCGAGAATGCTGCTACTTCCTTCAATGTTGCTTGAAACTGAATCAGAAACAACAATAAAATGCTCTGTTTTTTTTCTTGTTCATCATGGTCTCTTGTATAGAAATATGGATCAAGAAAACAAACACAAGCATTTGAGAACTATGAAGATGTTTAACCTTCTCTGGTTGTTAGTCTACTGTGATCACTCTACTTTTTAACTTTCATAAAAGTTATTACTTGCAAGTAAACCTTGTGCTTCTGTATGATGACATATTTAGAGTGATGCTAAGAATTGAATGTTAGAGAAACAAAAAAAAACACTCTAATAAGATTAAAGCGCCACGGCTTATTCGCAGAAGAAGTTGTGAACGCGTAATTATTAGCAAGCAAATAAGCTATCTGTTTTCCTCAAAATTACAAACAGGGCCCAAGCGGGGAAAGAAATGTGCTCCAATGAGGGGTTATGCAAGCCTAGCCAGCATCTATTATCTAGGCTCATGTGACAGTTCTAGCTAAGCAAAAACAAGAAACCAGCTAAGCACACCACCCTGGTAAGTCACTATAAACAAGAGACCTATGCAAAGGCAGAAACAGCACTAACCTTTTGAGACTCTGTTTGGTCAGAGCTCACACTTGATAAAGACACTGACCGAATCAAAACAACAGAATCATTTACACAAATTAAGGAGCATCTAAAGCCGATTGAGTTCGATGGCCATGTTTCAGCATCTTTCCCATCACTTTATCAGCATTTGACTCCATTCCATGTCTTTTATAAGCCTTGTACATAATGGCGAACGTTTTAGTTACAAGCCCATAATTAGTCTCTTCCATCTCACTTACAACGCTTTCCATTTCTTCAAACCGTTTTTGAGAGCCATACATTACCATCTTACAGTGGTAGAGAGATCTGCATAGTTTCCAGCCAGCAGACTCTGCGCGCTTGATGAAAGTAGTAAGATTGTCAACTTCATTACACCTGAAGTAAGCTAAAATGATTGCCCTCATAATACTTGATTTATTAACACATGTCTTATGCTCAAATGCCTCGTTAATTTTACTCTCCATTGCTTCCAGAATGTCTTCTTGAGCATATAGTCGAATCAAAAGCACATTTAACCAAGGAAAATACATCTCCCCAGAGAGAAGACTCAGTAAATTTTCAATTTTTTCGACTCTACCTGCAACAGCTTTCTTACAATATGCACAGATCATGGCCCTGACCAAAGGACCTCTGTTCAAACCATCCTGATATTTAATCGATTCATAGATTTCTTCCATCTTACTCAAATTCCCTGAATTTGCATACCCTCGAAGCATTAGCAGATACGTATCGGTGTCAGGCTCAACTGGACCCGTCTTCATTTCTCGGAAAGTAGCTTCCATTTTATCCCACTTCCAGGTAGTCAGGTAACCAGCAATGAGACAGTTGTAAGTGCCACAATTCGGAAAAAGCTTTAATTTGTGTATTTCTTCGAAAGCTGCTTCCATATTCTTTACCATCAGAAGTCGACCATAGACTGATATTAGAATATTATAAGTCACAACGGTCGGCGCACAATGCGTCTGCCTCTTGAAATCTCTAAAAAGTGACTGGCATTCCTCGGCAAGCCCGTTGCACATGTAAGCACTCATCAAAGCATTGTAAACTGAAGTCGTCTGAATTCGTTTCCTAGCTGCCTCATTGAATAGATAGACCGCAAGGTTAATGTCTCGAGCTCGGCCCGCAATTTTGATTCCTTTTGCATACTCTTCCGATGTCAAAGGGATACAACAATCTACCTGTCTTCTCCTCCACTCTAAAACCTACCCAGGAAGACATTAACAACAAACTTAGATTCCTAAATCAATCAAGTTCCATTCTCTCCGCACAAAATCGATCAAAGATTCGAGCTTTTCGAAAGACAAAAGATAAGAAAGGAAACCTGAAGAGCCAAGTAATGGCGAGGAAAGAGTTGGTCCATAAGCTCAATGATTCCAGCACCATCACGATAACTCCTAAACAACCATTGACCATCCTGATCCAAAACGCTATCGAACTTTTCCTTACTGTTACCAATAGCTAAAAGCTTGTTTCTCAGAATCGAAACTCTTTGGACCAAATCAGTGTGATGAGCAGGCAAAGTGGCCACACGGGTGAATTTCCCGATCATTAGACTGCTGAATTTCATAAAATTCGATGTCATAGTCAAGACTTGGGCTTTGGAGCAGAAGCTATGGCTATGTTAATAGGCAAAGATCGGATCTGAGGAACTGCAAAATGTGCAGAGACCCAGAATTAGGGTTTATT